CGCCGTTCGATTCACCGCAATGCCCAGCACTACATTATTAAATTCTTGGCGTTGCTCGCGAAAACGTTCCCTGTGGGATGGAGGGGGTGGGGGAGAGAGAGAAAGAGCGCAAGTATTAAAAAATAATAATCATGGCCATCACAATGGCAACCACCATGCGGCGGTTGGGGGAAAAGGCCGGGATCGCCAACGTCGCCTGGCAGTGTATTCGCGCGGGCAACGAGAGCGCCGGTGGCAAGTGACGGTTTGTCAAACTGAATAGGTGGCGCGGGGACCGAGGGGGCAGTTTGGAGAGCGAGTGCGAGAGAGACGGGCGGCTGCTGACCGCGAGAGCGAGAGAGATCGAGAGAGGCGGACCGAGTGGTGCCGCGTCATTGCTTTATGACAGGCCCCATCATGATAATCAGACTTCGGCTGGATCGCGCTTTCCCTGAGCTCGCCGACGACCGCTATGACGCCACGGGCTATGATGGCCCCAGTGGCGCTGCCGCTTCCCCTTACCGCTCTCTCTCTCGCTCTTTCCCTCTCTCTCCCTCCCTCTCTCTGTCTCTCTCCGACTTCCCATATACCCCCTCTCTCGCTCTCTCCCGGGTGACTCCGAATCCCAAGCCATCGATTTCGTTGACGACTTCGAAGCGACGTTCCGTGCCGAGGATGGCATAATGCGTAGGGTTATTCGATTTGATGGCCCAGTCTGGACAGCCACACTGCCGTAAATATAGGCGCGCCAGCAGCCGAGAGCGGGGCTGTTCGGTCGCGACTTCACTACCCCTCTTCTTATTACGATTTTAAGCGCGATCACCAGCATAGTGTATGCCTCATTGCCACCGAACCTGTGATGAAACAGGTTAGATGCGACAGAGCGACGATATGCATCCGGAGAATCACACCACTGCATCCAGACTGAATATATTGAACGACAAAAGAAAAAGAAAACAGCATTTTGTCGGAGTGTGGACGTGCTTGATGGGTGGAGGATGGTGATGGTGTTTCTGCGGGGGTGGTGCGGGTGGGTGATCTGTGGTGTGGGTGATGCGTCGGTGATGGGGTAATCCTCGGCATTGCCCGGGCCGGGGCGGCCGCGATAGCTGCTGGCGACTGGGGATTTGGGAGGGGATATCCCTCTGGCAATATCTGAGCGACCGCCGGCCGCAGTCACTCACTGCCCGCCCCGCGCGTGGACTTACGTCCAGCCAGACGATACGCCCTTTTTTTTCCTTCTGCCGTCCTCCCCTCCTGTCCGCGCAGCCCCGCTCGGTGTCAAAGAGAGGTTGACGCGCAGCCCCAGATGGCCCCCATCGGGCGTCAAGCGGAGGGCCGAGTGAAAAGAATAAAGAGACACACGAGAGCGATAGAGAGAGAGAGAGAGGGAGAGGGAGAAAACTATGAGGGAGAGGAAAGCGCGCAATGGTCTGGAAATGGGTTTCGACAGTGCACTGCAACTGACCACACGGAAACAGACTCGCGAGCTAGAGCTGAGAGAGAGGGAGGAGGGGGGTGAGGACTGAGAGCCACATGGAGGGAGAGAGTAGAAGCGACAAAATAACGGTTTGGAACGGCGAGCCCCACTGGAACCCTAAACCGTATTCAGGCTGCCAGGGGCAATGCAGGGGGGGGGGGGGGGGGGAGGTCGTCCTAGTGGTATGGTCGTACGGACCGCGACCCTCAATCGGAGGCGCTACCACCACACCAGCCACACACCACATCGCGGGCCGCGGAGGGCAGCAGCGCGCAGCACCGTAGCGCCGGCAGCGAGCAGAGCGCGCAGAGCGGCAGTACAATGTATGTCTTTACAGCTCCCCGCGGTGCGGTGGCGCGGGCGCCGTAGAAATAAATACACCGCCGCAAGAAACAAGAAATAGGAAAAGAAACCTTTCCACACCTTATCACCCTCTTTTTTGCGCAGAAAAAAAAAGTGGGCCGAGGGAAAATAAACGTACCCTTCTTCAGTATTGCAGAAAAAACACTCAAGAGGGGGGCACACGGTAGTAGCAGCGGGTAGTATAGCGGGTAGTCGTCGCGCGCGCAAAAAGTGTGCAAGTCGAGCGCGAGTGCGCGAAGTCGTCCTGGACGCGCTGCCAAAAAAAAAGCCTTCGCGCTGTTGTCGTCGCGCGGAATATTGCGCGTCTGGCGCCTGCGAGCCGGCGGCGGCGGCTGGTCCGCCCTCCCGCGTGATGTAGTGATCAGTCCGCGTGTGAGTGTGTGTGCGAGAGTGTGTGTGTGAGAGAGAGAGAGAGAGAGAGAGAGGAGGGTCGTTGCCCAGCCAAACTGTGGTCACCCTGTCCCCCCCGCCCCGGGGAGACACACACCAGCGACGACGGCATTCCGGTCCTAAACGAAAGCATTCAGCGCATCTCACACACGATTTGACGAAACATGTGGACTTTGGTCCGACTGGGACGGCATCGGCGGCGATGGTGGGGTCCGGCAGGGGGTGTGTGACGCCAGAGACATATGTGACCCGCTCTCCGCGTCCATTTTTCTGGTCCCCCCTTTCCTCACCCCCCCCCCCCGCTCAATTTTGCCCCCCGCTCCAGCAGCCAGCCAGCAGAGCAGAGTTTTGCTCGCGACTCGCTCGCCGGCCTGAGCCCAATGTCTTGGAAAATGTATCGAAAATGTCCTCCGCTGAAA